TTAAATAAATTAAAAGGGTATAATGGTAAACTTGGTTTAATCTAATTATGGTAAAAATATTTCAGTTAATCTCTCCTTAATTAGTTAAACCCTACCAAACTAACATCCCTTTATCAGTCGGCCGTCGATCACAAAATCATCTCGTCTCAAAATAATTTCTCGAGAATTTCTTGTAGGAGAATGGAAGTTTTAATCGAAGATTTACGATGGAGAAGACAGTGGTGTATGGCAGGGAGCCACCCTTGAAGCCTTAAACCCGACAGGAAAACGAGTGGGGGATGAGAGAACTTGGTGGTGGTCAATGATTCTATGGGTGTTTGGCTGTTGTTGATTTACAGAAAGAACTAGGGAGGAAGGATTTGCAGCCAATAACGTGGGTGGTGACAAACAACATCTCCGATGAGGGTGGTTTGGCAGTGAGGATCGACGGGAAGTAAGGGAAAGGGTCTCCGGTCTTTGACTGGCCGCAGGAGGTGTTATCATTCGTCAATCAAGGGTGTTTGGCTGGTTTACCGGTCGTCGATCATCAATCAGGTAAAAAAATTCTTTTTTCTTATTTGATGTTTTAATAGAAATCATTGGGATGTTTGGGTTTTCCTGGAAAATTGATATAATGAAGGGGATATGGGTTGAGTTTTGAAGGAAAATCCATGGGTGTTTTGATTGGGTGTTTGAGCTTTGGTGTTTTGACAGGGAAAATGAAGGAGAAGCAATGAAGGTGTGATGTCCCATTTTCTTGATTGATTTGTCAAGAACAACACCGTGTTCTTGACTGGAACGTGATACTCAAAAGAAGAAATAAGGTAACTGGATGTTGCTTCTTTGGTGATTCATTGACTGTCAATCAAAAGGAAACACATGTTGAAACATAATAAAAGTTAATTTAAAACTCAATCAGGTGTCTTATTTTCTTTATTGATTACAATATTCTATTATCTGAGATTTAATCAGTGTGCTTCGATTTTACTGCAATTGGATGGTTTTGTTAGGACCAAATTAATAGTTGCCCTAAAAGTGTTTGATGAAATGCCAAAGAGAAATATTACCGTATTGATCGCTCAACATGCCATGGCTTCAAATTGTATTCATGGTAAGTGATTGAATTTTTATCGAATGTTTATCGATTCTGCATATCATCTCCATTATTCTAATGATTTATGCATTTTTCACTTTGATATTTTTCCAATAGAATGCATACGGTAACTGAATCTTGAATTCAAATTCTATCGGAATGGAATCAAGAATTCCAATTCTGTTGGAATGGAATATGGATATTTTTTTATAGTTTTTATTCTCTTAGAAACCGAACAAAGGAGGTATAACCTCCTGTGTAACTCATTTACTTTGCAAACTTTATTAATTAAAATGAACCATCATCTATGAACTTTTCATCCAATGCTTTTTGATTTTGATTTTAAATCACGAATTCCAGTTCTGTTGGAATGGAATATGGATTAATTGTTTTATTCTATTTAATGCACTAAAATTTTTATTATTTTAAAAATTGATTAAGTTTTCCTTGTGAATTTAGGTTTTGAAGATGTTGCCATTAATGTGGAAAATGAAGAAAACATGGAGAACGATATTTGTATTCTAACAGAATGTATTCTATCAGAATTTATAAATTGTTTCTTAGCAATAATATTCTTTCGGAATAGAGTAGTGTTTTTGTTAGATTTTGATGATTTTTTTCTTTTTCTTAACCATTTTTAGTTTTAATCTTTAAGAATAAATGTAATCATTAAACCATTATTAGTCATAATTTTTTTAGAATGATTGTAATAACTGTTTATAGTATTTTTTTTTCTTTACCGATGAATGTAAATAGTGATTCTTAAAGAATAAAATCCGTATTTTTTTAGAAAATGTTATTCTAGATAATATGTTGTATAATTTCTTTAAGCATGTTTAATATAAAAATATATTAAATGAAACAATATTCTGCAAGAATAAAACCACAATATGTTTATTAGTTTATTCTTGATTTTTCTATCATTCTGACAGAATAAAATCGGTTGTTATTAAAAGTAATACTAAAATTTGAATTAGAATTAATTTAAAAAAAATTCAGATTTTTTAAAAATAAGGGAATTAATGATCCCTTAAAATCCGAAAATTTCCTTTTTTAAAATAGGTTAATTGACCAAAATACCCTTTTGCTGAAATTTGTGTGATAATAGGATACATGATACCCTATTGTAATATCATAGACCCTCAGATCATGATTATTGATTCTATTCATCCGGTGGTCCAGATCTATGCATTCTGGCACACAATAGTTACTAGAAACAATATAACCTAACCCTATATATATATATATATATATATATATATATATATATATATATATATATATATATATATATATATATATATGTTTAGGTTTATTTGAGACCATGTTAATTTTGTTAGATCTTGAGATAAAATCTAAAAATAAATTTAAAATGTAAAATAAAAAGAAATATCTAAAAATTCTTTTTTTTAATTATTATTTTCATCACTTAATTAGCTAAAAAAAATAAGTATTAAAAAATAAAAAAATTACCATTTTTTTGAAAAATACGTGAAATATTCTAATAGAATACTGCACTGTAAATATTCTAACGTGATTTTTAAAATGTTAAAATATTCTATTAGATTTTCAGATATGTAAAATATTCGAATATTTTACTAGAATATGTAAAAATAATTATTATTTATTTATTTATTTTTGAAAAATATAAATGACGAAAATAGTATTTGAAATTTTTTTTGAAAGTTTTCAATTATTTTGTATTTTAAAAATGTTTTTTTTTCTATAAAATAAGTGGTTAGAATTGAGTTTAATAATCCCACAAAATTAAGCCGTCTTATATTAACTTAATTCTCTCTCTCTCTCTCTCTCTCTCTCTCTCTCTATATATATATATATATATATTATATATATATATATATATATATATATATATATATATATATATATATATATATATATATATATATATATATATATATATATAGAATGAGTTGCAAAAAGAAAATAATATAATAAGATTATATTTTTAGGATAAAAAATAAGATTAAGGATGATATATCGTTAGATATAAAACAATATTTATCTTATTTTCTACTTTAATTTTGTAAGAAAAAATAAAAATGAGTTAAAAAATAAGAACTATTAATTTTGTAAGTCGCCACGAAATTCATTATTTGTTATGAAAATTGTCTTAAGATTTTATGTTTTCTTTTTAAATCAACTTTTTCTTTTCTAATATTTATTTCAACCTAATTTTATTTTTGTGTTATGAAGCTCGTTTCAAGTGCCAATAGTTTTTGATTATCCTCACAATAAACGAATCCAAACAATTTTAAAATTTCACATTTTTCACAATGATAAAAACAAATTCTACAGAAAGAAAAATCCTGGAGAAATTTTTTATTAAAAAAAAAAAAAAAAAAAAGAAGACTTTTAACATTTTCGTTGGTAACATACAAAATATAAATTGCAGCAAATAATAAATTTTACAGTTGGGCCATAACGCGAGTATATTTATATTTTTATTTTTCTCAATAATAAGATATTAAGTTTGTAACCATAACGCGAGTATATTTATATTTTTCTCAATAATAAGATATTAAGTTGATGCATTGTCAACTTGTCATAAATGAAAATAATAATAATATTAATAGTAATAAAAATAATAATGAAGAAATTGACATGTTTATCCCTGAAAAGTAAAAGCCAACCTATCTATAACTTCCATACTTCTCTTTCACTTTGCATCTCAAAAACCAGCCATGGCTTCTTCTTCCGTTTGCAGTCTTCTCTTCCATGTTCTTTTGCTCATACAGGTATACACTACACACACTTCTTTCTTTATTTACCATATTTTATCCACATATATCATAGGATAATAAATACTTCAATTCCTTGAATTTGAATCACAAAAAACGAATGAAGAATCACAAAACGTGAAACTGATTTGAATCGAATCTTTGTATGCATAACAGTTTTGCAGCTCTCGAGATATCATCGACAAAAACCTGAAGACAAACGATAATAACGAAGAAAACCATTTAAAATTTTATGGGAAAAGTGAAGCCGATGATTTCGAGCCTGCTTTAAAAGTGTTCTTCAACGTAAATGATTTATACAAGGGCAAAAAAATGCCGATTTATTTCGCAACAAACGATCCTTCCACAACGCCTCGACTACTCACTAGAGAACAAGCCGATTCAATTCCATTCTCCTCGTCAAAACTCCGTTATCTTCTTGACTTTTTAACGTTGACCAACGACTCACCACAAGCAAAAGCCATGGAACAAACGCTCAAACAATGTGAACTTGATCCGACACCCGGTGAGACAAGATTCTGTGCAACCTCGTTGGAATCGATGCTGGACTTGACACGTGGCGTATTGGGTATGGTGAAACTGAAGGTGTTGACCACCAAGATCCATAATTTGTCAGATTCCGGTTATACCCTTTTGCAAGAGTACACGTTTTTGAAGGAGCCATTGAAGATTCATGCTCCGGATATGGTGGCATGTCATACCATGGCTTATCCTTATGCGGTTTACTATTGCCATGCTCAGAAGGGGAATAATAGGGCTTTTGAGATTTCTTTAGGGGGTAAAAATGGAAATAGAATTGATGCTATTGCTGTGTGCCACATGGACACTTCCAAGTGGGACACTGACCACGTGGCGTTTCGTGTACTCGGAGTCCAGCCTGGCAGCTCGCCTGTTTGTCATTTTCTTCCGGCCGATAACATCATGTGGATCCCATCGGTTTAGATGAATAGTGGATTGTAAAACGTGTTTGAATGTGTGCAATATAGTCTTAATTAGTAGCTAGTGATTTTATGCTCTATTACTTTTTTCAGGATTAGCTAACCTTATTTTATGCATTGTATAATTGAAAGGAGAAGATATAGTGTTACAAACAATAGATAATCGGAGAATTTAAAAGTTTAAAACAAATAAAAAAGAATTGGTAATTGATCATAAGGTAACGTTTGTAAAAATAATTGATAAACTAGATAATAAATTACATAATATAAATATAGACTTACAAGTTTAACTCGTAAGTGGTATAAAAATGTTGTGAGGTGAATCGTTTTGTTGCTTGGTAATATGATTCCCTATGGATGAAGATATGTTGCTTGCCCATCTAGTTTGTGATCCCATTATTACCAAAATGATAGGGAAAAAGAAAGGCTCTTTATCAATGTTTATAAATTTATTTTCTATGTATTTTTCTTAAATGTTCTAAGTTTTTAACTATAAATATTAGAGTTATAGTTTAAAAGAAAATATTTTAAGAAATCTATATTGAGTAGATGAAGAGAAAAGAAGATTAATATGTCGGATTGAAAGTTGTAGAATATTTGTGAGGTTATCTCTCATTGCCTATATGTTTAAATTAAAAACTAAAGTCTCATGGAACGGAGCATAAAAAATATTAGTATAAGCAGAATAGTAGAATGAGTAATTGTATTTTATGATTATGTTTGGTTGACTTATTAGAATATAATTAATTTTATATAAAAAGAATTATATTATATTGTAAATATAATATAAAGTTGTAACTCCACTATGCATTATACATAAAGTTTTAATAAACTGTAATTTATAAAAAGAAAAAACTTTACACATAATATAAACTTAATTAAAGCCCATATATAAATTATTCATCCACATGTATTATCTAACTCAATAATTTGATGTAATTTTTATTTTATATATATATATATATATAGAGTCAAGATCAAATAAGAAGGAAATTTTTGGTAGGAAGGTAAGAAGTTTTTTTTCTACGTATTTTTTTCGCGAACAAACAAAATGAATCATTAGATGATTCATTTGTAAGATGATTCACAAGAAAAAATTCTCAAAAAAACATCTCGATGATTCATTTATACAATGATTTTGTTGTTATTCACTAAAATTATCATAAAAATGAATTTTTTCTTAATTTACTTAAAAATGAATCATAAAGATGTTTTTTTGAGAATTTTTTCTTGTGAATCATCTTACAAATGAATCATCTAGTGATTCATTTATTTTGTTCGTCAAAAAAATATATAGAAAAAAAACTTCTTACCTTCCTACCAAAAAAAATTTCTTACCGGATCTATATCCTATATATATATATATATATATATATATATATATATATATATATATATATATATATAAAATAAAAATTACATCAAATTATTGAGTTATATAATACATGTGGATGAATAATTGTCATAATTTTAGTTACCTATTCAATTACTATTTTGATGATTTATGAATAACATGGTATGTAGTATAAATACTCATCAAATATAAATAAAAAACCACATCATCTTGAATATAGTATTTTAAGTGTTCAAGAATCATCTCAAATCTCCTTTTATTTTGTAATGTTTTAGTTTAGTTTGGTTAATTTAGTTTTAATTACATCGAATTTATAACACGTTATTAGTACGAAAGCTCTAATAAAGTGGAAATCACATTTATCATACTTGGTGCATGTATTACTTAATAAAAAAAAAGATATTTATTATAAAACAACCATTATATTAAAAATAATAATCTCTTAAGAAAAATTATTCATCATTAACAACTAATGATATTAATTTATTTTTGTCAAACCATTATTTATGTATTGTAACTTTTATTTATACATTTACATTATTTACATTATGCAAGTAATTTTTTATTTATGTATACTAATATTTAAATTATGCAACTAATTTTTATATATACTAACTTTTGTTTATACATACTGATGTTTATTTATTTATATTTCAGATATTCTTCGTAATTTTATTTAAACATTTACTAATATTTATTTATGTTTCTAATTAGTAAAATTATACCAAGTAAAATTATGTACTAATTATAAATCTTATTAAATAATTTATAAAATACATATATATATATATATATATATATATATATATATATATATATATATATATATATATATATATATATATATATATATATATATGTTCAGGTTCATTTGAGACCATTCTAATTTTGTGAGACCGTGAGATTAAATTTAAAAGTAATTTTAAAATGCAAAATAAATGGAAAAATCCAAAAATTCTTTTTTTAAATATTATTTTCGGAACTTGAATTAACTAAAAAAAATATAAAAAAATATAAAAATAAATAAATAAAAATAAAAAAAATTCCGTTTTTTTTTTGAAAAGTACGTGAAATATTCTAAATAGAATATTACACTGACATATTCTAAAAAATAATTTTAAAATGCAAAATAAATGGAAAAATCTAAAAATTCTTTTTTTAAATATTATTTTCGTAACTTGAATTAACTAAAAAAAATATAAAAAAAATTCTATTTTTTTTTTAAATACGTGAAATATTCTAAATAGAATATTACACTGTATATATTCTAAAAATAATTTTAAAATGCAAAATAAATGGAAAAATCAAAAAATTCTTTTTTTTAAATATTATTTTCGGAACATGAATTAACTAAAAAAATAAAAAAAATAAAAAAATGCGTCTCACGGTCTCACAAAATATAGGTGGTCTCAAATGAACCTAACCTTTTATATATATATATATATATATATATATATATATATATATATATATATATATATATATATATATATATATATATATATATATATATATATAATTTAATTTAATTTTCCGTTAGTGAACATCAAGACCGAAACATTTTTGTATTTTTCTTTTAGTTTATGAAACGAACAAAACCAACATACTTTTTGCACTTTTTTCTATGAAACAAAGAAAACGTATATATATATATATATATACATATATATATATATATATATATATATATAGTTCTAAGTTTTTTTTTTCTTTTTGGAGCCGTAGAATTTTATTAAATAAAACTAGTAAGAAAAAAAAACAATTGCATCACAATAGTAGCTAAAGAGGGGTTATGAAGTCATTCGGTCCAACGGAATTTAACTTTACTACATCTATTAGAAATCCAAAAGAAAGACTTTTCAACAATCTCATCAAAAAGAAGAGAGTTATTTGGTAAAACCATTCCAAAAATAGTTATATTGCGAAAATTCCATATTCACCAAAAAGAAGTGATAATGACCGCATCAAACACCTTCCGTTGACCTCTCCGTAAATTAACATCATCCAACCAATTTATGAAAGATTGCATTGAAAGTTGAACCGGAAGAGATAAGCCCCACCAAATAGCGATCATGACCCAAATATCTATTAACTCGGAACAATCTGTAAAAATATAATCAATAGTCTCCACTTCACAAGTACAAATTAGGCACATAATTGATGGAACCAAAATGTCTCTATTAGATAATCTTTCCCTCGTCAGAATACTATAAAGGTGAACCCTACAGATTAGAATATTAAGTTCAATAGGGATCTAATTATTCCATTTAGTAATCATATCTCCCGATGTAACCTAACCACTATCTACGGCATAACGAGCTGACAAAACAAAGAAAGTGTTAGAAATATCAAGAGACCAACCCAGCTTATCTTGAACATGCTGAAGCTGAACATCCTACATCAGCTCCAAAAACGAGTCACACTAACCTTGCTCTATACCTCCTCTAGGCATACGTTAGGGGTGTTCGCGGTGCGGTTTGGTGTGGTTTAAAGGTGAAACCGCAAACCATGCTGCACATGCGGTTTGAGTTTTTTGGAAACCGCAAACCGCACTACAAAAGCTCTAAACCGCATTATGTGGTGCGGTTTCATGCGGACGGTTTGTGCGGTTTATGTACGGTTTATGCGGTTTGATAAGTTGTTTCAATTTATAACTTTAGTTGTTATTCATTCCATTTAAACACTTTCAAAATTTACTAATTATAGTGCAATACGCTTTAAAAGGCATAGATATTGCGAACAAAAAAACACATAATATTTTGCTAAGCTGTTATGACTTATGAAATTTGATATCATAGTCTTTTAATTCTTTAATTACTATATTTAACAATCGTGATATAGAATAAAGTTATTGGATAATATGAAGTATTTGGTAATTGGAAACTTTGATATATATATATATATATATATATATATATATATATATATATATATATATATATATATATATATATATATAATGAATGGTTAGGGCAACACATATTTGAACCAATGAAAACACGACAACACATCACTTCCACAATAACTTCTACAATACATTACTTGTAAAGAAAGAAATGGACACGTATCATTTGATTATTGGTTCCGGTAGATGTTGCCCTAGTTATTTGTTTTCCATAGAACTCATTCATATATATATATATATATATATACACACACACACACACACAATGCAGTGTGGTTTAAACCGCGGTTTGGTAACTATAAACCGCAAACTGCACCGCATAATGCGGTTTGACAAAATTACGAACCTCAAACCGCACCGCGAAATTCTAAACCTCATTATGTGGTGCAGTTTGGTGTGGCGTGGGCGGTTTGTGTGGTTTATGCGGTTTTTTGCACACCCCTACGTCCAAGCTCTTCAATATTCCAACCAATTAAAAAACGATCCCTGGCATTGGTTATATGGTGATTATCGAAAGCAAACACTCTATGGAAAGAAATAGCAAAAGGATTATCAGCCTTCCAGGTATCATGCCAAAAGGAAGTATAAGCTCCATCACCAATTCTAGTAGGAGATAAAGTATGGAAGTAAAAACCCCGGTCTTTAAGATTATCAACCATCCTTGTAATACCATTCCAAGGACCCATCAAATATCTCATCATGATCAAAGGAGTTTAGAAATCACCCAACCTATATAGAATTTTTA